CTGCGATTAAAACGCACGGGTTTTTTATGCATAAGCTCGTTGGCGCACCGGCGCCATTTAAATTCACTCCCAGTTTCCAGAAAGCAGAGGATCAGGTGACACCGAAAAGATATATTAATTTACGCCCGCCTACTCTTATAGCAATTACGACGCTCTAATTTATATAATTTATCTGTACTAATGCTTTTTTAATGCAAACCACCTGTGGTGCACCGAGGATAAACCGTGAAAATAAGGTGCGTAAAACGTAATATATTAACTGCAGACTTTTAAGACATCTTATGGAACGGTGGAATGACTTTTCATGATTGAGAGAGTTATAATGTCAAATTTTATCACCGGAGATATTCTAAGATTTTAAGGTGTATTTTTATGAGTAAAAGTGTTAAACTTTACTATGTATGTGAGGAAAAAAACATTCTTGCAGTAAATGTTTCAAGTTGATTGCTTACACTTATATTTTCAAATAACTATATTATCTATACAAAATTCCACACATAAATTGAACGAGGTTGACTCGAGAAACATATTCAAATCGATTAACTAAAGATAATTAAAGCCTATGTCAAATTTTGTAAAAACTTTTTCTTACCGAGTTTTCTAAAATTGTTGTTGATACTTCTTACACAAAACTTTTTAGAAAAATCGGAAGGAAAAAGTTTTTGCAAAATTTGATAAAGTATGGCCCATAAAGTTAACAAAAGAAGCGATAAAGTCTATGTCTTACTTGCCAAAACAATATCCCAAAAAACTACGCGGTTTATAATGAAAACCTCGAGGTATGTGCTGTTGGGTGGGATACCACTATTCGACCTCCTAGGAGCTCGGCGTGCCTATTCAATTCATTGAAGGCGTTTTAGTTGCCGTCGCGTCACTTCGCGCTAGATTCCACTTAACTATCGCGATAACACGAAGATTCTCATTTGAAACTGCTTCTTCAGTGACCTTTTTGCCTAAGATATCTAATGTGATGCCACTCAGTGTGTGTAGAGCTAAATCTAAACGTTGCCAAATTTCCTTGGAGAAATCACGCAGTATTCGTAAAACTGATGTTTTGAAAATTTCACTCGTGATTTTGTCCGGATAGCTAGAGGATAAGTTCTCAAATTAATTTTTTAATTGCCAAAAAATCACCCGAACTGCCGTGCTTGCGAAAACTCTGTCTGAACATTCAAGAGTTACCAAATTTCCTTCAAGAAAGGTTTAATTTCAGGAAAGTTATGCATATTTTTCCTTGGACTTTTCATATATTTTAAATTGAATCGCAAACATAATTGAAAGAAAAAATCGAAGAAAAACATGCACGATTTTTCAAGTAAATTCATTATTTTATCAAAGGAAATATGGCAACGTCTAAACTCTCATACAACGTTATTCCTCAGCACGACAGCAGAAAACTTCACGGATTTTCGTGCAAAACCTTGAAATTAATGTTGCAAAGCGTGATACCACTATTCGACCTCCTGGCCACTCATCTTGCCTATTCAATGAATTGAAGGCGTTTTTGCTTGCCGTCACTGCACGGTAAATTTCTTTGACCTATCATAGTAACAACGAGGATTCTCAATTGAAACTATTTCTCCTTCAGTGGTCTTTTTGTATAAGATGTCTAAAGCGATATCACTCTGTTAGCGCAGAGCTAAATCTAAATGTTACCAAAATTTTCTCGGAGAATTTACGCATTTCATGTGAAACTAATGTTTTTTTCTCTTTTCTTTCGTGAACGTAGATCAGATATGTGCGACAGTATCACTGCAACTTTTGTATTTTCAACAATTATTAATACAAAAATAGGGTTTTTTTTTCATTGAATTCAATTTTTTTTAAACTGATTAAGTTGATAGAATAGTCATGCTTCCATGGCATTACCACAATTGGACGTATATCTGTCAAACGGAACTAAGCGCCAATTTGAGTTCCTTTTGAGGAATTTAGAATCCCGGATAGCGCGTTCTTTCAAACGGAACTAAGCGCCATGGAGAAGCATTGCGAGTATGGGAACGAATGAGCCCGACGCCCGATTCCGCCGCCCTAAGCACCCCTCCACCTTGCTACCCCAATGGCGCTTAGTTCCGTTTGACAGAAATGCATCCAATTAGAACTTTGAAAAACAAACCATCCACCTACAATATAGCTTCATCGGACATAATTTTGTCTTATTTGCAGGTTAATTACTGAAACTTTAGCCGACCGTTGCCTAACGACGCGACGAGAGAGACCAACTCCTATCTTGCAATGGCCCTGCTTGCCAATCGAGATCAGTGCACGAGCAATTATGTCCATTCTGTCTCAGTAAATCGGTCAACAGATTAACGATTAAAGTTTCTCAACGGCAACAAGGCACGCAGGTAGAAGGGGTGGGTCTTCGGGGAGAGAAAGAGCGGTAGCAGGGTACCTCATTAAGGTCAACAAGCGTGAAAAATTGTGCGAGGCCGCGTTTCACTGGCGCGCAAGAACCCGTTCGGATTCTGATCTTCGTGCTGCTAACGGTGGCGCGGAGAAACAAACCCATTCTTTTCAATAGGGAGCATGTATATCTTCAGATGAGCTTTAAACTACACAACATTAACCGCACTTCAGGCTCATCTGGAAACGAACCTACGCTTAGGACGACACCGCGACCCTGATGGAACCGCGAGAGAGCGAGAGGTGTTCCACCGTGCTAAGGAAAAACACCGAATGAACCTTCAGGCGTTGCCAAATTCCTTCGATAAAACACAAATTTCCTAGTGAACTTACGAATATTTTCCTTCTAATTTTTCAGATAAGTTTGATCGTAATTTCACATAAAGTTCCTGAAAATTTAAAGGAAAAATATTCATAACGTTCCTCAAAAATAAACATTTTATCGAAGGAAATTTGGCAACTCCCGAATGTTTGTACGGCATTCTTCCTTAGCACGGTAGTGTTGTTGAGCATCAGGATGGAAGATGATACTTATTATACATTATACCCATAACAAATAAGAACGTCTCGCGATAAAATTTTCGATTGTAGGAAATAAAAGTGCGTTCTTGCGAAAGTATGGCTCAAAATTTGAAACTGAGCCGTTGGAATCGTGTTTATGTTTGATGACCCATATAACTCCACGGCCCATGAGACCGCACGCAACCTCGATAATCAAAATTGAAATTGAATGTTTTCCTCACGGGAAAAAGAGATATGGGTTAAGTCCAAACTTGGACACTTCCAATTAATTGAGGCAGTGCTCCAATAAATTAAGTTACAAACCCAAATGTTGCGGTACTTCCCCATTTTGACTTGCGATACTACCAAAATAAATTGGAGATGCGCCCATATCATCCAACAAATGGGGTTAGTGCCAGAATTTTAGAGGATAACCCCTAGCACATTTTTCCCGCGGCCTCTTTCCTTGAATATTGAAGATTGTGGTGTATACAAACTCCAGTTTAGGCCTAAAATGATCCATTTTTTTTTTTTTTTTTTTTGTAATTTTCATTATTATTAAACAAATATTTTGCACGGAGAAAGAAAAAATGGTACTTATCGAAAGCCAAAATTTTCGGTACAAGAAACCGAAGTTCCTATTTACATGCAGAAACTGAGTTTCGCTTCAGCGTAGCGAAATTTGGTTTCCATGACCAAAACTTACAGTTACCTGGACAATTAAAATTTGGGGTTCAACATATTCCAAATTATAGTCCTTCTGACCTAACTTTTTTCTGTTTTAGTTTGAGAAAAACGTACTCCAAATTAAACTTCGGTGTATTTACGGTGCTTACAAACAAAAATTTTGTTACCGTTCCTCGATTTAAGGAAGGCGTAATGTAAAATGTATAAGAAAAAAACCTATTTCCAAGCTCAAAGAGAATATCGATTATGAACAATCTTACTTCTTCATGCTAACTAAACTCATTGGGCAGAGAGTAGTGTATTCCTTAAAATGACCGAACAGTGAATAGAACTCAAGTTTAAAAAGCTCAGACAGAGGCTATTGTAAGCGCCTTCAATTTTTCGATCATGCAAAAAACATTCCTCGAGCATGAATAGTTATCTACTCGACCCCTGACAACAGTAGGGCGAGTGCCGCCATGATTTAGCGTATCAATCAAAACCTCTCTCTTTCTATTCTGCGACGCATGTTTGTCAAGTTCTTTTTCAAATTTACTGGAAAGTGGTTGAATTTATTTCTTTGGAATTTCTAGACAATTTTACTCGCGATCTAATCAAGAGTTTTTTATTTTTATGTCAAAGGAAAAATATTCATAAAAATTCTCCGGAAAAATGTTGTCTCGATAAAATCTGACAGTATTTAAATGTACCGCGTTTAACAGAAAGGAACTAGCCACGTCAGCTACTACCAAATTCAACTGGGCAATTTAATTTTTTTAAAAAGAACCCTTCCGTGGATTCCTTTAAAAACTCTGAGGAATTTACTTTGTATTATGCAGGATTTTCACTAAAATTCGCACACAAATCTGCACAACCATTTTCATAGAAAAAATTAAATTGCCCAATGAAATTGGGCAATAGCTAATGCGGCTTGGTTCGACAGCAGAAAACTTCACGGATTTTAATGAAAAACCTTGAAATTAATGCTGCAAAGCGTGATATACCACTATTCGACCTCCTGGGCGCTCATCCTGCCTATTCAATGAATTGAAGGCGTTTTTGCTTGCCATCACCGCACGGTAAATTCCTCTGACCTATCACAGTAACAATGAGGATTCTCAATTGAAACTTTTTCTCCTTCAGTGACCTTTTTGCATAAGATGTCTAATGCGATATCACTCTGTTAGCGCAGAGTTTAATCTATTCGTTACCAAAATTTTCTCGGAGAATTTACGCATTTAATGTAAAACTAACGTGTTTTTCTTCTTCTTTTTCTTGAACGAAGATCAGATTTTTGCGACAGCATCACTGCAATTTTTGTATTTTCAACAATAATTAATACGCCTTACTGATAGAGTATCTTGAGATTTTAAAACTCCCAAGTTCTAAAATCCCAGCATGATGATGTTCAAAATTTGATTTGTCAGTTTCAGACGGAGATGAGCGGAGACAATGCGCACGATGTCGTTGCAGGAATACTTTCTTACCATACTCTTCTGTATTTTTATCACCGTCACAGTGGTAAGTATACTATATTTCCCCTAGTTCATACTAAGAGATGGATCTGCTAAATTTGTAAGATATAGATAAACAAGAAAAAAAAGTCCCCTCAATCTTGTACTGGTTTTCATTAGAGCTAAAAAGATTGTACTCTAATTGAAATTTTTGGAGCTATTTTGGTATTTGTTTTCCCTGCGAAATTGTGTGAACCCAGCACCATTGCCCCACTTTAATACAGATAAATGAATATGTCTCAGTTGTAAAATCGCACAACTGTCACAACGAGTGCATAGAAAAGGACGAAAATTTAATTTTCAGGGTAAATTGGGCCATCATACACAAGGTCTGAAGTAAAAGTCAACGTCCTATCGACAGTGTAACTGCCAGACCACGTATCTTGTTTGCAATGTTCGAAAACCTCCGCCCCCAATTTTAATTTTTTATAGGAAAAAAATTAATATCATTTCTTGAAATTTTCGCAAAGTTTTCTTCGCACAGAGAGGGGAAAAGAAGGAAGTTTTCAAGGCATTAACGTTGAGTACTTTTTCGTTTAAAAAATAAAGTATGACAGGAAGTCTGCAACGTCACAAACCAAGATACGTGGTCTGGTATATATTTTCACAATCTATATGTTTTCTCTTCAAAATCTTACACGGGAAAGTTTTGAAATCAACTCCTGAACGAGATGTTAACAAGTCTTATGAACTCAGTTCAAATGGAAGTTCGAAGACACGCATTTTTCGACTTTAGCCAACAATACCAGTATTACAAATTATGGCCCCAAAGTCAAGTTAATTTGAAAATTAAACTGAGAAACCTGCCTGTGAATGCACCTTTATAGTCTGCAATTTGGCACACGAGCACTTACAAAGATATTTCGTTAGTCTCATTAATTTACCTAGTTTCGTGGCGTCATGAACAGACAATGATATGATTAAATCCATCATTCTTCCTTTGTTTCCGTGTATGTGAATTTAAGACTTTGATACGTCAGAGCTTAGTTTCTGAAGTTGCAATTAATGCTTTGCTGCCCTCCGATTTCCAAGAAGTGCGCGAGTTGCTTAATAACCCACAGGTGCTTGCTCAGTGACAACACTGATTTTCATACGCTTTGACGCAGAAAATTATTAGGACGCATTTACGCTACAATGAGCTACGTTCGCAAAATGAATTAATCCAAAATGAAGTATGAAGCTCTCAAATATCATATGCACATACCTCCTTTCAATTTAACCCACTTGCAGATAGTTACTTTTAAAATAACTGCCTCCGTTTTGGACACAAAACCGCGCGGAGCACTTACAGGGTTTCCTCTCAGGGATCGGATCTTATTGTATATATGTTTTGACAGAAAAAGAACCCGCGACGGGT